AGACGGCTGTTTGAAAAATGACTGAACGCAACCAGGCTTTTTTCAAAATGGCTAGCCATTTTACAAAATGACTAGGCATTTTGCAAAATGCCTGACCAGCATGGAACGTAGATCCCACTACAGATACTATGGCCAACAGTTTTTGGACGTCTTCCTATACCCTATAGGTACGTGTTCAGGCTGTAGCTGATCGATTTGAAGCTCTGTGATGACGACAATGCTGAGTAACGACCAGGTTGAGTTGCAGACTCGGCTGTAGCATAAAGCATTGTTTAGTTAACGCTGTAAAAACTCCCAAGTACATCAACGCCGTTCATGTTCTGCCTGAAACTAGACCTAACAAAACCAGCCGGAGACCGGCCCTAGTGAATAGGCAGGCCCGGTTGATGATGTATCATCAGGTCGCTTGGCGTAGGACGAGAGCGTTGGTTTCAGAAGACACTAACGCCTAAGTGTGTGGGATCGAATCCTCGCGACCTCTAACAGTTTTACAGATACAGGCCGGCATAGGGCCAGTCGTTTGTTGAAGCTCCAGATCGATCATTTTAAATCCAGCAGCGTCGCTGACGTGGGGGTTGGAAATGTCGCGGGCCTGCACTTCTCAAAATAGAGGTAAGTATGGACTTCCCACAGCTGGACTCCTCTGGTCATAATGCTGGACTCCTCGGTCCACCTACACGCTACCAAAACGTATATATTTAGGTACTCGTATCTACAACACGCTGCTCAGTCATTTTGTAAAATGGCTAGGTATTTTGTAAAATGGCTAGGTATTTTGTAAAATGCCTAGGCATTTTGCAAAATGACTGGAGAGTCAGTCATTTTGTAAAATACCTAGGCTTTTTGCAAAAAGCCTGGAAAATCAGGCATTTTGCAAAATGCCTAGGCATTTTACAAAATGACTGATTTTCTAAAGTGCCTGCAACATATATATTGCATGACATTCCACATTCCATGAAAAAAATATGTAGCCGCTCAGAAGAGCATTAAAAAAAGGACTAAAACATTCGCAGGATACTCTTGCCCGTTGGCATGATGTCACCAACAAAAATTTGCAACCATTCAAAAGGAAATTATAGGTATACTTCGCAGTCAACAGTCAAAATTAGCACATACATACCTTCTCAGTTTTGTTCAAAACATGAAATAACAAACATTGTTGCCGTCAACTACTCTTTGGGCAATAAAACCTGTTAGGGTCTTCACCCTCGGGCTACAATGACGTCACACCGGGAAATATTTTTTCCTATTGCCTGCTATCCCATACAGTGCCTACTCGTACATTTTCGCATAGCCATCATGACCAACCTACCAACAACCATTCTCTATTATTCTTTTGTGTTGTAGGCACACAATCGTTAAGAATCTTGCCATATTTGCAATACCTACTTGCTTTGAAGTTCACCTCTTGTTTGAATTAAAGCCCGCTTTTTATTTCTTGCGTGCCTCATCGCATTTTAAGTTCCAAGAAGTTGGTTAGGTATTTTTAATGAGCTACCAGCAAGTGTATGCAAGAGCTTCTAACGCGTGTGCTTGCATATGTTTAGCTCCAATTTTAAACTTTAAAATATCAGTCAGACTAGTTTGATAAGTAAAGTTTGGAAGGACGCTCTGAAATAATCCGAATCAAGCAGATGACAGGTACAGGCATGATGCGTGTGCAATCTGAGACGGACATCATAACGACGTGATTTAAAAATCGCAACTAACGCAGGGCTAAGAGTGATGCAACTGTAGAATCAGTGTTAACCCTCGCATGTGTGCGGCGTTTGCCAGCTTCTAACGTGTGGGGGGGGGGGGAGGGGGTCGGTTGGACCCCCTTGCCGTTTGGCCCCTGATCGAGCTAGAGCTTCGCGGAAAAAACGATCGTGTTGCCCGTGACGAAATAAAGCCAATGGTACCCAATTTTAAGGTCCTAGGTCATTGGATGACCTTCCAGTTCAGGTCAATGACCCAAAAGTCGGGAAAGTCGGGACTTGTTAGAAAGTCGTAAAGTGTGGCTGCTATGGGGGTTTTCAGGGTGCTGAGCACGAATATCGTGTTAATTTTGATCACAGATGATGTCTTTAAGCATTTAGACCAGGTCGGGTCAGGTCAGGTCAGGTCAACCAGTAGGGGTCGTGACGGGTATTCGTAGTACGTGTCAACCGCCTCTGACAGCTTCGTTACATGTTACGAAGGCACCAAAACTTCTTCGTAAATGTTCAAATGGTTGCTAAATTCGAATTCAGCTCCAAAAACTAGTCTAGAAACATGTATGACTCGAAAAAGTGAACCGAGTTCACCAAAGGTCAATGACCTGACCTGACCTTCAGGCAGTGGCGCAGCCAGGGGGGTCAGAGGGTCAGCTGACCCCCCGAAATTTCTGTCAGGGGCCCGCTCTGGGATAGCGAAAAGAGAGAGAGAGAGAGAAAGAGAGAGAGAGAGAGAGGGAGAGGGAGAGGGAGAGGGAGGGAGGAGAGAGGTCCTAATCTAATCGGACGAGCCCGCTTCGAGAAATGCCTCCTGGGACACCACGGGTGAGGGTTCATGGGCCCCAGGTAGATGGAGCCCGAGCCCCGGGTAGATGGGGCCCGGGCCCACGGGTGGATGGAGCCCGGGCCCCGGTGGATGGGCCCGGGCCTCCGAAAGAACGGGCCCGGGCCCCGGGTAGATGGAGCCCGGCCCCCGGGAGAACGGGGCCCAGGCCCCCGGGTGGATGGGGCCGGGTCCCCGGGAGAACGGGGCCCGTGCCCCGGGTGGACGGAGCCTGGGCCCCGGGTGGATTGAGTCCGGGCTCCGGGTGGACGGAGCCCGGGCCCTGGGTGGACGGAGCCCGGGCCCCGGGTGGATTGAGCCCGGGCCCCGGGTGGATTGAGCCCGGGCCCCCGGGAGAACGGGGCCCGGGCCCCGGGTGGACGGAGCCCGGACCCCGGTGGATGGGCCCGGGCCCGGGAAAACGGGCCCGGGCCCGGGTGGATGGAGCCCCGGGGCCCGGGCCCCCGGGTGGACGGGGCCCGGGCCCGAATTTGCACTTTTTGGGCACGCGTCATGTGCTCACCATCGGCCCGATCGAACTGAGACCCCTAAAAGGCCCGTTGTCCATCCTTGTTCTATAAGTTGCGCAAATTTCAGCGCGCCTGTACGGTCTGCAAGCCTGTACCCCGCGCTAAGTAACACCATGGAGTGACACCATGCCGGGACCTCGGTAACAGACAGAATCTACGTCACCACATCTCCACACCACAACAAACCCGGCCCAAGGCAATAAATGTCCCATATGAGCGCGTTAAAATTTCTTGTGAGCGAATTCACGTAATGAAGAAGAATACCTAATGGCACAATCTACTACAGCAGCCAATATATGACTTAGGCCACTGGCCAGGTACATGGGACTACAAGGTACATACATCATATCTTGTCCGACAGAAGCAGGCAACAGATCCGTTTGCATATATGCTATGCATATTGCGGAAGGGGTACATTTCGGCCTCGAAAGATACGAATCCATACTTCACAGTAACAGTACCTATATTTCTGTCGTGGTCAATGTGCGTGGAAATTGAACACCGGGTGATTACCGAGCTATTGTTCTATCAAAACTTTCCGATTCAAACTCGCTCAGGGTTATCGTGCAGGTAAAGGGGGCCCGCCCAGCAGAATGCGTATGAAATATGGAAAGATTCTGAAAAAATGGGTGGGCCCCCGCACACTAGGGGGCCCGCTTTGGAGGCGATGACCCCCCCCCCCCCAAATGAAATCCTGGCTGCGCCACTGCCTTCAGGTGACCTTGACATCCACCCTAATGCATGGGAGCAACATCAACTCACATGTTTGAACGTTTGAAACCACGAAAAGCTTGCAAACGCGCGGCTAATGCGAGCCGATATACGCCGAATCGCGATTCCGGGCAAACATGGCCTCGAGAAATAGGTCAAAGGTCACTTAGGTCAGGGTCATGAAGTTTTGAGGTTAGGTGTAAAATTGATCCATTCGAGGGTACTGAAAGTTTCGTCGCGATGGGCCGCTTTTTGCGCGAGTTATTTGCGAAAAACCATGGGGGGTCCATCCAACCCCCCCTACACATGCGAGGGTTAAGTTATGTTTTCATGCCTGCAATGCTTTCATATTATATCTTCATATTATCGTCTAAAGCGCAACATGAAAGACAGTTATCTATCCATCGGGATGTCTACACTACTGGATTTTCTACATTTGCTCAAATAGACGAGAAAAATATGTCGTTTTGTAACAAACTTTTCTTTGAAATAATGAACACTTAATTATCTATAAGTGAATTTATCAGTGAATAATTAATTATAAGTGAATTATAAAATAGCTGACTGCTCAAAAATTACTGTTGAATTTGTCGTCCTTAAAATATAAGGAATATACAGACAATGCAGAACGCACATGTTCGAATGAACATGATTGTACTGAGTGGCTGTGCAGTAGGTATGCACACGATACGAGGTTATCTACATACATGAATAAAGATGGGCCCTGTGTCTTTTTTCACAAGGGCTGAAATGGTAGTGGTTGTGTATCTTATTAGGCCGTCAAAATGGTCAATTTAGACGACATTTATTTGATACTTTTAATCCATATTCACAGCATTGCAGATGAACTGAGGTTTTAATTAACTGTATAAATTTTGTCACCAATTTCACACCATTCTCTCTCCTTTCCCTCTCTCTCTCTCTCTCTCTCTCTCTCTCTCTCTCTCTCTCTCGCTTTCTTTTTCTCCCCGGCATTTTCATCCTTCACTTCTTTGTTCTTCCAATGATCATACCTCCTTCAAATTAGCCGTCTCTTTCAGGCTCAGTCTTATACAGATAAAATGGTCTATCACCGAGTCTTCTTCAGTGTCCGGTCAGGTCACGAAGTGGCCGTGGGTTTCCGGATCCAGCCGGGCTCCAGGTGGCCGGCTGGCTGGGCCTTCAGCCGGCACGTGACGTCACGTCGCCGCTTCGTGCCGGCCCACTCGCCTGCCAGAGAGATGGCACAAATTAGCCAACAAAGCGACGCCGTGAATTTCGGCCCGGCCGCCGGCAATCGGGCTAATTGCATCCTTGGCCGGCCGGCCGCGCTGGATGGGACAGGAGCCAATTATGGGACAGAATGTCGGCCGGCCGACGCTGATTGGCTGGCCGGCCGGCTGGCTCCGCCCACCGTGGATTGTGTCCTCCGACGCTCTCTGTCGTTCTAGCCGGGCCTTATTGAATTACAATCATCATTTGATTTTTGCCCGGCCGAGCGGCCACACTGGTGTTATATGCTCATAATTTGATATAGCTTGTGATTGAATTACAACTATCTTACCGGTGCTTTACACGTCGTTCGCATCGTGCAAGACGTCGGCGGAGACATTGAACTGCTCCTTGGTCGCCGATAACCGGTTTGTGACTGTTTGCGACCGGCCGGGGCCGCGCGACGGACGACACCATGGACTACGCTTACCTGAACCAGGGCGGGTTCGATCCGAACGGCTCTCTAGCCTCCATGGATCCATCCGGACTGTCCAACATGACCTACAGCTACAGCGAGCTGGCCAGCTGCAACCAGATGAGCCAGGCGTACCGCTACTCGGCGGCCGCGGCGGCGGCTGGTATGAGGCCGTACACGCCGGCCATGGCCGCCCCGGCACCCTGCGGCGTCATGAGCCGACCTCAGGAGCACCACCGGCCGCCCTTCCATCACGGCATGAACCTACAGGGTAAGTCAGGACGCTGGGGAACTGTTTCAACCTAGGTGTGAGGCTTGTGAGACGTGTAGACCGCCCGGGCTGATCCGGCCGCCTGGCAGTATTGTGATGAATGTGGTGGGTTCAGGGATAGATCAGATAAGTGCGTTATTGTAATATTGTAAACTCGCAATTTTAGCTCTTGATCTGTCGGGATAAAAAGCTGTTAAAATAATGAACAGTTTAGCCTTGTTTGAGAAAGCTCAAACAAGGCCAGTAGGCAGTAGGCAAACAGTTTAGCCAGTAGGCAGTGTTCGCTTAAAATGAAGTTTGTTTCTGTTCTATTTGCAACACAAAGCTTATGCTTCAAATTTTGGGAATGAAAATGGTTTTCATGAATAAGTGTTTGCATCACTTGCACGCCTAAGATCGTAATGCTGAGAAGCTGGTCAAATAATTTATTAGGTTAAGGGTAGTGTCTTTTCTCCAAAGCTGCAATAATATCAATGAAAAGCAAATGTTTTAAATAAATATTTTTAAGTGGTAATCATCATCATCATCATATTTATTCAGCATCGCTTGCGTAATATCCATAATGTCATGGATATAATCAGCGTAATATCCATTGCGCATCTGTACTTATGTTTGACTACCTACCTATCAGCTTTCATAGTTTTAAATTTCTTATAAATAGGAATATTAGATTTTCGTAGAGCAGCCATGGGAAAATATTGTTCGATATGGCGTCACGACCCCGAGTCAGATGAGCTAAAGCTCAGCCTAAATAAAAGCTAAGCTTCAAGTCAGTTTACATATGGTGCTTTCAGATGGCTTCCTTCCTTCCTTCATGCATCCTTTCCTGTCACGCAGGAAATAATTTAAGTATGATCCCTTTTCATAAGAATTTGGGAATACTTTGATACAGCTTGCTCACTTTAGCCAAGATGCATATTGGAAAGGTCTGGAAATAATGGCGAAGTGTTGTTGACAAATAAAACATAGATGATTGACGGATCGAGAAAGATGGCACTTGAAGCCTGGTTGGAATTTACTTATGTTTCATTCTTTGCAAGCAATGAGGAAGCAAAGGGATAGAAAGGTGAAAGATAAAGAAATTAGGTATCCATAGAAAGACAAAGGGATAGAAAGGTTTTGATTTCCTCATTAGGTGAAATATTTGTGATGACTTGAAACGTTTTTTAACATTATTATCATTATGATTGTAACAAGTATGCATAATAGGTAAATGAACTTTTGCTCATATCTATAGGAGAAAATGCTATTTTGCATAGTTACATGCTGCAATTTAAAGAGACGCTTACACTTTGCTTTTTCATGCATCGCTGTGCAATTAGAAGCAAACCATTTACGATTAAAGTTGATTCACTTTCTTTCTATCGAGGTAAGACAAACCTTATTAATTTCGGACGATGTCGGAGGAATGAATGCCCAAAAGGCTCCCTTGAAGCGTTTTTTAACATTATTATCATTATGATTGTAACAAGTATGCATAATAGGTAAATGAACTTTTGCTCATATCTATAGGAGAAAATGCTATTTTGCATAGTTACATGCTGCAATTTAAAGAGACGCTTACACTTTGCTCTTTCATGCAGTGTGGCCAGCGCTGGAAACGCATCGTAGGTAGGAATACAGACAGTTTTAGATGCTTTTACGTTTACGCCGGTAATGCCACAAAAATATTTAAGTGTTTGTTCGATTCGATGCATTTACACTGAGAAAGCCTTGCGAACAAAAATGTAAAGCTATACCAAAGGAGTTTATTATTAAAAACTCCATTAGAATGCACCAGTACCGTGCAACACACATTGCAAACTGCACAGTGCACAGTACACGCTGACCGGACAACACGCATGAGTACGATTTATTCATTTGGTGTGGCATCACTTCAGCTACGCTGAAAAAAATTGAAAGGTGCTCAAAAATGGAAACAAATTTGTGTAAAGCGTCTGAGTTAACTGCTCGTCAATACCGATTAAGTATCGGCTTGGCGAGCATATGTTTTTGTGGCACTGAACATTCGATGAAAGTCACATAGTTTGCCTGAATGAAGAAAAAGGCCCGTCTGGTTGTTTCTGTTAAAGGGACTATCCCACCTTCTAAAATGTTGTTAAAACCAGTTAAATTGTGCCCGACTTTATAGATTGGATGACCAGGAACACGGTTCTGGCATTTATTTTTCATTAAACATCTTAGGCTTCCCATATTCCAAACACAAACTTTCAAATATGTGACGTCACAGCCCAAAATTACCTCCTTCCCCAGGCCACATTACTGTCATAAAGCTGATTCTTTTTACTATGTAGGCACCACAACAAAGTTCAGACCAAGTTTTAAGCGATTTTTCAACGAACAAACCCCTTTAAATCAGAATGACTAAACGAGGTGACGTCACACTAACGGTCGCTGCATGTTGAAGATAGGGCCTTGTGCAAGGCCCATTTTCAAATGAAGAGAACGAATTTCTTCAACACCAAGAGGCCGCGGGGGTTGCAACCTAGATAGATAGTGGTTTCTGAACCTCGCTGCAAACTTCGCTATCTCAACTCAAACCCCATGTTAAAGGTGGGATAGTCCCTTTAAATCATCCCAGCACAACCATGTAGTGCCTGGTTCTGCGACACCTGAGCGAGCGTCATTTCAGCGAACGACGTTTGAGCGAAGCCTTTTCAGCGATTATCAATTTAAGCGATTGACTTTTTCAGCGATTGTCAAGTCGGCGAATTCAATCACAGCGATTATCAATTTAAGCGAGGATCAGAATCAGCGAAACCAGATTGAGCGAATATATGGAGGTCAATGGGGGACCAATTGAGCGAACACAGTTACAGCGAAACCGAACGCGACGGAAGTCAATCATTTGCTACTTTTCGGGAATTCTTGCCTTTGAAATACCCGCTTGGTAGGTATGTGTCATGCTTCAAGCTACGCGCGGCAAATTAAAAATATCCTTTTAAGCTTGGAAACCACAAAAGTATCTGGCCTCATTCTCCAACTTTGATCTGGAAATGTGGAACGTGAGAGATAGGACGATGGAAGGAATCCCAAGGACCAATAATAAACTCGAGGGATGGCACAGGGGGATCCAGTCTATGTTTCAGGGACCTCACCCAAATATCTGGAAATTCGTACGGTGCTTGGGGCAAGAACAAATTTTACAACATGGGGAACTGATCCAAATTCAAGCGGGGGAATTTCGCGAAAAACAGCACAAGCAATATGAATCTCTGAACAAACGTTTGATCATCATTATTGGCAAACAGCACGTGGGGGGGGGGGGGGGTTGAAATCGAGCCGCTGTAATTTTTGAGACATGTGGCATTAAATTTGGAGCTTAATGCCTCTGAACTTTGAACGTGACATCCGCCATCCAGTTCCGGATCACCATGAAAAGTTCCGGAAACATTCGTTGTACGAACGCTCGCAAAAGAAAAAAGAAAAAATACACCGTTACGAGACGATGAAGTGTTTCGCTGAAATGTCAGTCGCTCAAACTGTAGTCGACGAAAAATATGTCGCTGAAACATAGCTTTCGCTTAAATTGATAATCGCTATATTGTAAGTTCCAGATAATCTCATTTTGAAAGTAACTTAGGTGAAGAAATATCTGATTCACTAAAACTATAGTCGTGGCGGCGCGGTGGGAGCCCGTTAGCTCTTTGTCGACCTCACTACTCAGGGTATATTCATCATTCATCATCATCATTCTTTATTATGCACCGCTTTTACAGCGACAAATACAAATATATACATGTGTGTGATCACAAATGATGGGAGCCTGAAAAGCTGGTATCAGGTATAGGTGCTCAATGTGAGCACGTGAGGAGCCTCAATAGCCATTTTAACAACGGACGATCTGGCCAGTGCACCAAACTTGACCAAATTTGCACAAAATCTATTTCACAACAATTATGCTCATAGCTTGAATTTATTTCAGTGTTTTAATCGAAAATAATGTCTGGTAATTCGAAAAATCAGGTATTTAGGCAAATGTGTAACCCAAAATAATGACTCTTAAGGAACACAATGAACTTGCTTTGACCAAATATGCAGATAATTTCACCAAATCTGCCCGTAATATGAACCCACCAAATGTGTACCGATAGCCGTCGTGAAAACGGCTATTGCCCACTTCTCGCTATCTACGGCCTTTGGAGACTAACACTTATTACAGCGATTGCATTACAGTTCAAAATCGTTGGCGAGCGCAATACAGCTTGTCCGGGTGGGCGAGCATTGAACGCGTTATTTGTTCAATTTTCATTTATCATGGTTATCTAAGTTTTGTTCCTGAACCTTCCGATCCATCACCAGAAGTCCAAGCTTTAATGCTATAAAAGGATCTGTGCCTGATGGAGGCTGGAGCTCATTAGGTATACAAAATAAGAATATGAAATCCTACAGAGCCACATACCATATATCTCTATAAAAAAAATTGAGTTTGAATTCGGAAGCCGATTGTCATGACTACCGAAATGACTAGACGTTTACTACAACAGCTTGCGGTATATTCTAAGAGAGCTAGTTTTCTGAATTTAATCTCGTTCATCCTCTTTTCTTTTTCATAGCGCAGCTAAAATGCTCAGCACCTACATAGATGAAACCACCCAAGTATCTCCTTTAAAATTTAAGCCCTACAAACCCAAATCTGGACTATTGCTCTTTATTGCCAGAAAAGTTCGGATGACAGACACAGACTGTTATGACGACCCCTTATCCCAGATACATGAGCAAGATAAATTCGTATTTCTTATTTCTAACGATGTTCCGGCCAATGCTCACCATCAAAGTTCCAAAGTTTTAGGCTGCCTATATAATAATGAAAACATGGAAGCAATGGCATGAGAGAATAACATATCTTAGGTTTTCAGCCAAACAATTGGATGTATTTTCTCCCTGAATCTACGCAGTCACTCAAGGGCATATCTTAACAATTTTTACTGAGTCTCGAAGTTGTGCAGAGGGCACATACACATGCGCCGGCCAGTGTAAAGGCACATCTCAGCCCGTCGTGCCCGGCTGCCGACACCGGCAGAGGCGGCCCGGCCCAGCCGCCGCACGGTCGGAGGCATTGATCGTTGGTGTCTGTCTACCCCAGAGATTTACTCGTGTACCTCCGCTGCCGCCGGGCCGTCCGCTGCCGCCGCCGCCGGCGCCGCGTACCCGAGAACAAAATGGCCGCGCCCGTCCGCCATTAGACCTGTCCGGCAGCGCACGGAATGTCTCGATAGCGTCACATATGACGCAGTTATAAGTGCAGTGCAAAATATGCCAAATGCAGTGGTGATGGGGATTTTTCTATTGATTACGCGGGTCTTATTTCTAAAAATGAGCTTGAGCTGGTAAAATCGCGTTTGTGCGCTGAATTATTAAACCAAGCCGCGACGAAATAAATGAATTTATGTATATATTTATATACGATTATGTATATTTATGTATATACGATTAAATGATACCAGCGATCTACATTTCCTAGCTTACACTGTCTACTCTATTTGAAACAAGTACGATCATCTATAAAGCATGGTGAATGCATAGATGACAAAAACATTTGACTCTCAACAGGCTCTAACAAAATATTTGGTTTTAAAAAAGCTTATGTCTATGGATTTTCACTCGAAGGTCGGGGCTTAAATAATGACTTTGGAGATCCTCGAATAAAATCATTTAGGTACTTGAAACACACGAATAATTGTTGAAGAGAGGAGTAACTTTATTTCAAACAAGCCCTTTCAGAATCTTTGCATATGTTACAGCCTCGCAGAACCGTTCTAGCGCTCTGAACTGCCCAATCTCTAGGGATAATTTCAGTAACGCTGCCTTGAGAGGCTTTCTCAATTAAATGCCATTAGTTTTTTTAACGAATCACGAGCAATAGAAATGCTACATACAAGACGTCTCCTTTCAGAACATAATTTTAAGGGCACAAATCGTCGTGATAGAGGGTCTGCAAACAATGCAACAACCATAGAGCTCTGAAATTTGGTGTACAAAATGCTATATAACAACAAATTTCCCTACCAACAATGCACATATATTCAAAAGGAAATCGCTTGTTACAACATAAAAGATTACCACCGTATACAGTACCACGTTCCACGGCATGGTGACTCCTAGCGTGCACCTTCCGAGCGGCACGCACGTTAACTGTCGAGAGATCTGTCACAATTCGTCACCTTTCCTGCGTTGTCCTCGCACTATTTCTGTAACCTCAGCACTGACTCGGTCAGCACAGCATCCTCTCGCTCTGCTCCCAGACAGACAACTGAGAAGCCAGCCGTCCAGCCTGGCCGACCAGCAGCCTCTTCTTTTCTTATAACAAACATTATAACTCTATAACTCAGTTTCTACCGACATTAACTCGGTTACCCGACGCTTCAACGGGATAAATGAAATAATGTGATATCAAACAAACTTTATTATCGCCGGCCGGCACTATGAGGAGGGGTAATTCGATCAGCAGCCGGCCGCGCCCACCGCCCGACCCGCCGCCGAGCCAGCATAGACCCAATGAGAGAGAGAGAGAGCGACTGCGGAGTCGGCAGATGCGCGGCCAGAGAAGGAATAACTGACCTAGTCAGGTCAATGAGAGAGTAGGAAATCCGATAGAGGAAGTGACAGGAACAGATCTATTTGGCATCTATGCCAAAGCGGACACGATGAGAAGAGAGTTTGGAGTTAGCGAAATTGAACAACTGGGTGGGTGGAGAAGCCAGAAGATAAGATATAGAAGATCTCTATGGGGAAGCAACGTACTTACAACTCATGTAACGTATGGGGAAGCAGCGTATGTATGTGCAACGTATGCCAATGATATAGCGTATATGGCACTACATGACACTATATGGCGTTGTGAAAAAAAAACACTACCGTTTTGAAAACAACGGCCAGCGTATCTACACAAGAGCCTAGCGGATCGGGAGTCAAGTGAAGGTGGTTTTTAATATTTTTCAGCAGCTCAAGGCTGATTTCATCTAGGGCACATAAATAAATCCTATCAAAAGTTGGCTGGTCACATATGCTAACAAAACGTTTAGCTGATAGCTTCTTTAGTTATCAAACAACACAAAATGAAATTTCATGGCATAAGCGTTTTTAATTGATAGCAGCAACAAACTTGTCGAAAACTCAAGGAGATGACCAACTTCTGACCAAACTTTGTCTCTGATGTCAATGAATTGGTCATTGAGGTCAATCTCATGCCAAAACTCTTTGACAATCCAATATAATCTTGTGAATTGTGTACGGATCCCGACTCATAAGCCTGCAGCCGCACTTAATTACCAAGCGTTAATCAGAAAATAAAACGAATACTCAACCTAAATTAAAGATCACCACATTTCAACTGCTGTAGCCAGAAGTTAAGATTGCCAGATGAAGTTAACTGAACGCACCACCCTCCCATCTCCTTTCAGGCCTGCCTTACAAAATGTACAGCGCCCACGACTCGATGCTGACTGAGAAGCGTAAGCAGCGTCGGATCCGCACCACCTTCACGTCTGCACAGCTGAAAGAGCTGGAGAAGGCCTTCCAGGAGACCCACTACCCCGACATCTACACCCGAGAGGAGATCGCTATGAAGATTGACCTCACCGAGGCTCGTGTGCAGGTAAGGAGAGGGAGAGAGAGAGAGAGAGAGAGAGAGAGAGAGAGAGAGAGAGAGAGAGAGAGAGAGAGAGAGAGAGAGAGAGAGAGAGAGAGAGAGAGAGAGAGAGAGAGAGAGAGAGAGAGAGAGAGAGAGAGAGAGAGAGAGAGAGAGAGAGAGAGAGAGAGAGAGAGAGAGAGAGAGAGAGAGAGAGAGAGAGAGAGAGAGAGAGAGAGAGAGAGAGAGAGAGAGAGAGAGAGAGAGAGAGAGAGAGAGAGAAGAAATGAGGGGAGAGAAAGTTTAAACTTTAATGTAATCAATTAAAGCATATCGAGTTAAACCCATGTTATCGCATATTCGGTAGAAAAATAGCAGCAAGTTAGCAGTTCTGAGATCTGCATATCTGAGTTCAAGGATGCCTTTATAAGTAGGTATGTAATGCCTCGATAATGCCAATTAACTCTTCTGCAAGTCGTAATTTGATCTCCAAATCTCCAACATCGTACACTGTTCTTTTCAGTATTTTACAAACATCTCTTTTTGACCCAGGGAACTGACATGGTTCTCAAACCTGCCACTTTAAACCCCCGAGGGCATTATGCTTTCGTTTTCCGTTTTCCACATGAGTGAGAGAACGAACGGACGTGATTTGATATTGATGGCCTGATGCATCTGACGTAGATGGCCATAAAGGGTGGCTACTTTTGGTTTTCCACGAAAAGAATTGTGCCGCTTTGCATCAATGAGCTGAATTTGATTCTAACATTATTTTATCGGCTTCCAAAATGGAGCTCTAGCGGACGCATTCGCTCGGAAAATTTATGTCCGTCCGTCATCCACATTCCTGGAATGAAATTAGGCAGATTGGACTGGTCCATGAATGGCTGCGTTGTGCTCCAACGTCAACGAACACACACCCGCCGACTACTTTATCCGGAGCTTCCTCACGCCTGTCGGTGAAATTATGCGCCTTATTTGTCGCCATTCACGCTCGATTGACGGTCTGCTGTGTGGGCACCACGTCGGCATCGGCTCGCCGCCGCCTCTGCAGCGCCACAAACGCCACCGGAGCGCCACAATCGGCGCTGTCGTCACGGTGCCGGTGGCCTGTCAGGCGGACGGACGGGGAGCGCTGCAGACGGGGACGGCGCGTGCCACCGCAGCCCGCCACCGCCGCCGCCGACAACCGTCAACAATGCTAGTTCACGCCTTTCGCTATCCGCCAGATCGGTCATCGGATTTTCCGCACCATCGAACGGCCCGGCCGCGCCCGTTCCCATATCGGGCGTCCAATTGAATTAGGCTGTCGGCCGCGGCGGCGACTGCCGGTGCGCGTGCCGCTGGCGGCGATATGATCGCGTCACGTGACCGGACGGGGGCCCACCACGGGCGCCGGATGATTAGGGGCTCAGTCACAGGGAGTTAGGGCCCGCTCGGAAGGGCTGGGGAGGCGGCGGGCGCCTTTGAGCTCTCAGAGGCGCGAAGAACGTGTGTAATTCGGCACTGGTGGCCGCGCGCCGGTCGGTACATTCGCCCCGAGCGATTACGTCTCGGGTTACACGAGAGATTTGTTGAGCGATTATGCGATGTTACGCATTGTGCGGAACTGAGATGATGTCGCCGTCGATTGGTGTGTCGTGTCCGGACTGCGTGGGGTGAAAGCGGAATTCGCGGAATGTGTTTGTTCGTATGGCGATCATATTTCACAGCTGAATAATACATACTCAGTTGCTTATACCGGGTGTCCCAAAAGTAAGGTCATCATTTGTTTTGGCCACACCGCCAAAAATACGCGATGGATAGAAATAAATAGGACATCATATGAAAGAGCATTTTATAAAATTTTATTCTGATATACATATGAGTCAATACATTGGCTCGTAGCCCCACATTTGCTGCTTTTCTGCATGGCTACCATTTCGGGCCGCGTGCACGAATAGACTGCGTTTTACTTCCTCCACTATTCTGGAGCGATTCTCTGGTGAGATGCCGTTTATGTTTGCTCGGAGGTATCATCCTGTAGTTCTTCCCGGCTCGTTGGGTTGTCCTAAAAGACGACCTTTCCGCTGTGTACCCAGAGAATAAAAATATGAAGGTGTAACGTCAGGTGACCGCGGAGGCCGTTCAATGGCGTTGCCCTGACTGAAAATTACGCGATCTCACATCCACTCTCGGAGGCAATGCATGATCTTCAGGACGGTGCAAGCATAGTCTCCATCCTGCTGAAACCACTGCTGGTTGATGGTGTCAGCACAGCTGCGTTGCGACGAGCGGAAGAACCACTTGGAGGACTCTCGGCCACCTCTCTTGATTTATTTTCACCCGATTCCCGCTGTCGTCCTCAGGACCTCGAAGCACAGGTGGCTAAGTATACATGCCCTGTGCGTACATTATACCTTTTTTCTGACGTTTTACCGGTTGAGGCAAAACTATGCATGAGTTCAGAGATAGGGCGAGCTGATAGGGTCTGCTTAGGGCCGAAAACTGGGCGGTATTTACCCTTTGTTTTAATGACGGATCCTCTCAAGAGTTGAATTTCGACCTTCTCAGTTTTATGCCTACTGCTCGGTGTAGTTATGATCAAAGATGGTTTAAGCATGCAAGAAAATAATTTTATGGATGTACCTTGCACGTGTTAAAATTGGAAGTGATTCGGACTCTTACTTCTCGAGATATTTAAGTTTTAAATCATGACCTTACTTTTGGGACACCCTGTAGTAAGTCAAGCTCTGCTTGATGCGATTCGACGTGCAAGCTGCTTTACGAGCCATTAAGCTTTGAATTATAAATGGGCTGTTTCATGCGCACCTTCTACCTCGTCTTTAAAATATTCGTTGTTTTATGATGCGATGTGTCCGGTTGAAGTCAAAATTCTACATATCTCTTCCATTCGCACAAAAGTATGAAAACTGCGGTGCAATTCAGGTTAAGACAGCTCACACAATACTCCTAGGGGAGATCCGTGTAAGACGCCCAGGGTCGGTAAGAGGCCCCATCGCTTTTTTTACCAAACCAATAATGTTATTTATTTTTTAATGTTCTTGTAAAGCAGAAGCCCTCTTGAAACAACAACTCACGAAACCTGAGGTATCAGGTGCGTCGCAGCGACTTTTGGTAAGCCTGTTTCTGTTTTTGCCCCTTTACTTGCTAGATATATGCATCTTTATCACCCTTATATATCTGAAAAAACAATGGCTATCAAATGCAATCTTATCTCATCGAAATTGTCACATGTTAGCTTCAGAATAGACCATGTTCTGGTGCGGTGCAAATGTCAGATAAACCATAAATATTGTGACGTTAAAACACTGCATTTTTTTAAGAGGCCCTCCCTTCGAGGATTATAAAACGCCCCCCGATAAAAAAACGCCCCCGATGCTAAAACGCCTGCACCTGCGGCAGGCGTGGCATTCTTTTTTCAAGGAGTTTGTTTTTGTTTCTTTTTTCTGTTTCTTTTTCTAGAGGTAATAGGTACAATTTTCGTTGGTCATCAGCGTTTGGTTGTGCTAGTTTTCGCATTGTTCGAGCGCTTTGGAAGTGTTATTGGTTTCGATAACACCGTATTTGCTTAGCTTTTCGAAATAAGAGGCCTTGCAGCTGTGTTCGCAAAACGTCTTTTACAAGTCGACTTGCCTTTTTAAACGCCCGAGGGGGGGGGGCGTCTTACCATACCTATAGTGTAAGAGGCCCTTTTGCAACTTTTTCCAAAATGTTAAAGTTTACGGTTTGTGTACCCCCTAGATTCATTTTGAATGCAAATATGTATGGGAAAATGATGCATGCTCACAGCGCATGCACACGTTAGCTCCTAAATATTATCAGTTGTCTAAAAATAGCAACTGAGCTTAAGGGGGGGCCTCCTGCACCACTCTCCCCTACTCAGTTGTCATATGTGATGATAATATACGAGTATGTGTGAACTGATACATTTGAACGAAGCATTCGAATAGACTTGTGTTGGCAAGTCTTTTCTTACCTTTGAGAGCCATTGTTTTCAAGGCTCAAAATTAAGTTGATGTCAAGCAAGCTCTTTGACGCACTATTTAATCATGACAAGATATTGCCCACCTGAATAGTTGGTTCGATCGTTTGACGTATACTTTGTAGAAATAAGAGAAAATTCTAGCAGGCACGGCCTTATTTTCTATTTTATTTATACGTCCGTGGTTAATACCCTTGGTGACACGCAATCAGCAGTTTCGATATGCGACAATGCCTGCACATCCCACAACACCCATTATCAACAAACACATAGTTTTATCACTAATACAAGACGGACAAAAACACTGTCATCATGCCCCATACCCATTCTACAAAAACCTTTCGTAGAACAACATGTATGCTGACGCCCTCAGCACCCTGTCTAATGTCACTTCAGTGACCTGGGTGTCGCTCACATGAAACCACCGGCCTGCTTCCGGCTCCATATCCGGCTTGAGCTCGTCTGCCTCCGGCTGACTGGCTCTGGCCGGGGACGATCCATACGTGGCCTCCGGTTGGATCTGTGTCGCGCACTGCCCTGCTCGCTCACATGCCAGGGCGAACGTGTCTGTGACGAGCGTGGTGAGCAGCGCCGGGTTGACCGTGAGCTGGCTGTGCCGGCGTCGGACGCGCACATAGGCTGCATAGTGGCCACTGGTCAGTCGACCGCTGTGCTCGACAACGCCGAACAGTGAATAGAGCACCTGCCGCTGGCCGTCCCGCATCTGAGGCAGGTCCTGACTGATAGAGGAGCAGAAGGGGGCCAGATCGAACCGCTCGCAGAACTGGACATGTCGGTTCACTTTCCGTAGACTGGAACCACTCATCTCGAACCGCTTCAGGTGGATGGTCAGCACCGGCGGCGGACTGTAGATGAGCAGCTGCTTGGTGGCGTTACTGTACATAGTGACGAACTTCTCAGATGCTGGTTCAGCCGCTGTGAGCCGTTTGTTGCGCAGCTCCGTGCAGTTGTCGCAGCCGAACTTGTTGTTGCCGTCGAGCAGCTCGGGCGCCGTGTACTGTTTCAGACAGGTGAGCAGGCT